CTACACTAATAAAAGAGAAACATGCAAATTGGTGTCACTCCCTTATGCCCACCAGCCAATCAGAGTGAGTATGCAAATTAACCCAACAAAGATGGAAGTTAATTTGCATACGCAGGTGCAGAGCGAAGACCAAAGGCTCTGGCTGGCCATAGTGAAGACTGAAGACTGAAGCTGCAGCGGAGAAGCCACGCCTCACTGCAGCTGGAGGGGAGAAGCCACGCCTTACTGCAGCTGCAACGGAGAAGTCTAGCCTCAAGGCTTGGCTTCTCCGCTGCGGCCGGACCAAAGGCCTGGGTCCCGGGTGCCGGAGGAAAACAGTGCCGGCAGCCAGGGAAGGAAGGCCTATTGTGTGAATCTTCGTGCAATGGGCTTCTAGTCTAATATATAAAGTGCAAGTGAGTGACAAATAGTCAAGACCCCATGTGCCTAAGACAAGACACATGTTTTCCTCAAAGAGAAGGAAGAGTCCAGGGGACACTGTGGCTGTGTGCCCAGCACCCCTGCTCCTGCTTCTGGTGGCAGAACCCCTCTTCCCAGCTCATTCCGTCCTGTGTGGCCTAGGTGGGCCTCGTCACACTGCCACCATCACAATCGGGTACTTGACCCCGCCGGCCAGTGTTCCCTCGCCCCTGGGAGTGGATTGGAGACCCACACTCAGCTAGTCAGGACTTATTCGTCGGCTTAAGAGATCAACAAAGCCTGCTTTCTCCCTTTGGGGTTCTCGGCTAGTGTGGCAGTCTGGAGCTGTCTGCCTCCCTGGTTCAGGCAGAACCCTGGATCTAGCCATGCCTGAAGGTGCTATGACCCCAGAATGGAAGGGAACTACGTTAGTATGACAAAGAATGTCTACCAAAAAATGACAGCAAACATTTCATTTAATTGTGAGACATTCAAAACTATTCCTTTAATATTGGGAGTGAGGCAAGAATGTCTGCTGTCTCTACTTCTATTTGACACTGTAGTACAGGCCATGGCCAGGGTCATAGGCAAGAAAAAGGAACAAAAGGTATCAAGTTTGAAAAGGAAGTAAAGAAAAAGGAAACTTCTTGACTCGGTGCTGGTACCAGTGTGTTCACTTTGTATATTTCAGCCAGCTGCACACCTGACTCTGTTCTCGCACAGAAGCGGAAGTCCTCCCGCCCCCACATTTCAGCATGACCTTACGGACTGCTCTTGGGTTCCGAGGGCCTCAGTCCCTCATCTGGAGATGACGATGCTGAAAAGGTCGAGGGCGGCAATCAGCTTCGGATCCCACCCAGGTGCTCCATGTTCTCAAGACTTACTCACCAAAGCCCATCACCAAGAGGGACCCCAGGACGATGACGCTGGCATGCAGGGTGTCCGTGTAAACCACAGTGAGGAAACCACCTGGGGGGGCAGGGAGGGAGGGGGAGAGAGAGAGAGGAGAAATGCCGCGTGTGGCTCTCCTGCGGAAAGGCGCGCCGGCGTCCTGTTCCACCTGCTCGTTTCCCCAGATCGCCACACTCACCCCTTTGTCCCTTCAACTCAGTGGGTCTCACGACTACGTACGCTGGTCTTGGTGCACCGTTTTCTCTCTTTAACCTCCTTTCTGGCCTCCTGCTGGATTCTTATCTTGCCCTTCTATGTCTCAATTTCCCTTTTCCCCATCTTTTGGATGAACCAAAACCTGGTGGCTTTCTAGGGGAAAACCTGTCAGTTTCTTTAACATCTCCGTTTGGAAGCAACAGTCAGCATGCTCTGGCTTCTCCCTGCCGGATGCCAGCAGCACTCCCCGTGGTGACTCCCAAACATGTCCGCAGACAGCCCTGGGAAGGCAAGCCCCACCGCACGGCCCACGGAGGACGCTGACTCAGTGCATTCCATTCCCAGCCCTGATTCTCTCCACTCGACTGGTGATCTGCCAGGGACACTTCCCAGCGTCCAAGATCTGCACCGTGGCTGGGAAACACGTCCTCACTCTCACAGCCCAGGCGAGACTGTGAGGACAGAACTGCCTCCATAGAAGTTCCTGTCAGACGGCCTGACCAGGTACCAGGTGAGCAGGATGGCCCGAGGTCGCTGCCTCCCCCTCCTTCCCGTCCTGGGGTCCCATTCTTGCACCTGGCCGCCTGCTGTGCCAGACCACCCCCACCCAAAACGCCTTTCTCGGGGTAGGGCTCTAGTTTGGCGCTCCTGCCTCCTTTATTTCCTGTTCTCCGCAGCCTCCAGGCCTCAGCAAGTGCTCTCCGGACGTAGGAAAATGCAAAAGCTGAAGCCCCCGGTCCCAGTGTCCATCGACTCCACTAAGAGGTAGAGCTTTGGCATTAACGTCAGTACCTGTGTGCTTAGAGCCACCTCACCTGTGATCATATAGACGCCAGTGATGGTCATCAAGACCATGGTGGCCTGGTAAGCATCCATCCCCAGCACCAGCCCCATGAACATGGCCCCAGTGCAGATCTCCACCTGAAACGACACAAGGTCACAGCTGCACTTCCCTCTCGGCTCGGTCCGCAGTCCGAGAGACACTGCCCTTCGAAGCCACCGCAGTTCGCACATGGCCCACGTCACTGGGGGACACTGGGTGAGGGTCCCCAAGTTCTGCTGGCAGCAAGGCTTGTGCCCCATGCGTCCAGCCAAGGCCAGCACCTGAGGACTTGGCTAACCTGATTATCCGCTTAACACACTGAGCCTCCTCCCCCCTGGAGCCCCAGCGGGGTTGTGCGCAGCGTGAGCAATCCCCGAGTTCTCCACTTGGGAAGGCAGAGGCACCAGCTTGTCAGGAGTTGGCAAACTCTCTGTGCAGGACCAGAGACACGGTGAACATTACAGGCTTTGCAGGCCACACACCGTCCATGTTCCTTTATAACCCTAGCACTGTGAAAGCTTTCTTAGCTCAAGGACTGTAGACAGCTGACCACCATGAGGACTGGCCTGTGGGCAGGTTCTGAAGACACGGGGTTACCAAAAGTCAGTCACTGTCACCCAGCCAGTGTGGCTCAGTGGTTGATTGTCGACATATGAACCAGGAGGTCACAGTTCAATTCCCGGGCAGGGCACACGCCCAGGTTGGGGGCTCGATCCTCAGTATGGGGTGTACCGGGGGCAGCTGATCAATGATTCTTTCTCATCATTGATGTTTCTCTCTCTCTCTCCCTTTCCCTTCCCCTCTGAACCCAATAAAAATATATTTTAAAAAAGATTTTAAAAGTCAGTCACTGTCTTCAATAGCTTACACTTAATGGAGACAGGCCACTAAATGGGAACTCTCCGTGTAATGTGGTAAGTGGCACTCATTCGATTGTTCAAAAATCATCCATGAGTGGCTTATGCGCTGACCATGCTCTCCGCACAGGGGGCAATGCAGTGACCAGCCAGGCACGGCCCTGGGCCTCAGGAAGTTTGCACTGACGTGGAGCAGACAGACCAAGAACAAGGAAACAGATTCCTCTCACATGGCGACAAGTATTACAAAGAAAAATGAAAACTGAGGAATGGCGCGAGCACGACCAGTGTACCCATGGGAGGCCTTCCCAAAGAGCTCGGTGAAAAATGTGGGGACAGACACTGTGGACACAGCGAGAGCAGGTGACAGGCTTCAAGGGGAAAGGCTTTCTGGATGTGAGCAGCAATAAGGCAGGCAGGGTGGTGACAGCCCGGTGACCACAGCGGGGGACAAGGCCAGAGAGACAGGCGCTGGGACAACCCAGCCCTCTGTCACCAGGGGTTCGGCTTTCTGGTAAGGTGTGGCAACGCCTGGGTGGCTGTAACAGGGGAGTGACATCACCTAATGACACGACCCAGGAAGCCCCAGGTTCTCTGAGAGTACAGAGGAGGGCCCTGTAACCGAGGCTCAGGAGGCAAAGACGACGCCTCCGCCGTTTATCTTTTGTAAACTGTTATTATGCTACTAGAGGCCCGGTGCACACATTCCTGCACGAGTAGGGTCCCTAGGCCTGGCTGGCAATCAGGGCCCATCAGGTTCCCTGCCTCCCTGCCTCCTCCGTCCCTTACTCCCTCAGTGCCCCGGCACAGCTGCTGGTCGCCAGCCATGCTCCACGCCGCCCCCTGGTGGTTAGCGCACATCATAGCAAGTGATCGAACTCCCAGTCTCCCAGTCCAACTCCCAGGGGGACACTGCGTGTTAGCCTTTTATACGTATAGATTCTCCCTCTGCTCTAGCTTTAACAGCAGAGGCCAGGAAGTAACTGATGGGGCCCCAGAGCAAACTGCTGGGACAAATCTAGCACAGTCCTGGGCACTGATATTTACTTTCGTTCTTGAGCTGGCTTTTCCACAACTTACTGAGATCTTTTGGAAGAGATAGAGGAATAAGTACAGAATAGCGAGGAGGAACTGGATCCGGGAGCCACCAAATCTCTTCCTCAAATATTCTGGCATCGTCACCACCTGTATGAGCAACAAGAGAAGTCACTGTCAGACACACCGCAGGCTCACAGGACGGCCGAGCTCACCATGTGCAGGTGGTCACAAGCTGCAGGCAGGGAGGGAGTGGCCCAGGAAGACACGATGCAGGTCCCGACTCTGGCTCTGTACTAACAGCAGCTATGAGGATGAGAGGAGTAAACAGGACAGGCACTACGGCTGCTGCCTTCACGAAGCTTGGACTCCAGGCCGGCTGGTGTGGCTCAGTGACCGAGCACTAACCTAGGAACCAGGAGGTCGCGGTTTGATTCCCGGTCAGGGCACAAGCCCGGTTGCAGGCTCGATCCCCAGTGTGGGGTGTGCAGGAGGCAGCCGATTGATGATTTTCTCTCATCGTGGATGTTTCTCTCTCTCTCCCTTCCTTTCTGACATCAATCAATAAAATATATAGAAGCTTGGAATCTGCTTCGAGTGCAATCCTCGGAGAGCAGAAGGAAATCCAGTTCATTCAGAATGTCTAAGGATGACCAATCACTTTTGTGAAATAACCATGGAGCAAAATGAACTGCTTCCTCACATCCTGCAAATCTAACAGGTGCGCCAGGGAGAAGAGCTGGACTCTGTCAGCGATGCTCGCGTGTGCTGTGCCCCCAGCGATCCCGTTCACTTCTCCTCCCGGCGGTCAGGCTGCGTGCACCGTGGGCAGGGGGTGAGGCCTCTTTGGGCATTAGATGGCAGTGCCTGGCTCACGGCAGGTGAGTAAGTAATTGTCACATGAGTACTGTCCCTCCTTCTGTCCCGAATGTCCTCACGTGCTCTGTCCGCCGACCTCACCCATGTCTAACTCCAATCGCACCTGCTGTATGAAGACTCGCCTGGGGGCTTCCCACGGCTGTATCTCCTGAACCCCAAGTCTCTTAGTTTGGCCGCTCACTTGCTTTTTCATCGTAACCTCCATCCAGAGCTCATTTCCCAGCCAGGTTCTGAGATGTACTGTCTGCATCCGTCACGACAGACGCCTCAGTGCGCGTCTCACGGTCCTGGAGGCTGGGCGTTGCAGGCGTCGGCAGGGTTGGTTCCCTCTGAGGGGAGGACCGGTTCTGGCCTCTCTCCTTGGCTTGTGGAGGGGTCTTCTCTCTGTACATGTCTGTGTCCAAATGTCCTCTTCTTGTAAGTTCATGCCGGACTGGGGCCCACCCTAATGACCTGGTTTTAACTTGATTACTTCTTAAAAGACCTCATCTCAAAAATAACAGTCCCAATCTGAGATAATTTTCCTGGGATTATGGCTTCACAATTGCAAGTGTTAGCACAGCAAATGAGCCTGTTACGTTTTTAGTGCCCTCTCCACAAATATGTATACGTACATGCCCCGGCCAGGGACTGAACCTGGGACCGAGTGCCCTGACCGGGAATCAAACCAGCAACCTTCTGGTGTACGGTACGCTGCTCCAACCCCCTGAGCCACACTGGCCAGGGGCTCCACAGATATTTTTAGGTTTAACAGTTCTATGAGATATAATTTACACTCAGTAAAATTCTCCCGATTTTATGTAAAGTTCTACGAGTTTGGGAAAATGTATACAAATGTGTAATCACCACCACACTCAAGGTACAGAGCATGTCCAAACCCCACAAAGCCCTTAGGGCTTGCAGTCAAGGCCTCCACCCACCCCTGTAAGAAAAATGTTGTAGAAAATAGAGGAACTGACAATTGACACTCACCCCGGCCTTAATGTATATAGGAGAAAATATCCAGCCAAGAGCAACGAGCAGAAACGGAGACTGAAACACAAAGAAACGCATCAGGTCCCACCCAGGCCAAGCTCTAAAGAAAGACGCCCGCTCACTCACTACCCCAGCCTGGGCTCCTGCCGGGACCTCAAGAATAACAGCCCACGCGTAACCCTCCCATCCAATGAACTTCACTGATAGGCACTTGATGTTTGCCTATAAAAGGGTGCATTCTTAATTATGGGGAGCTCCCTGAGCCAATTTTCAAGGTATTTATTAGTATTCATTGTTCGCCTGCTTCCAGATAGAAATGAAGGTGACTTATAATGAAATATCTAAAGAAGAAAGAAAAATCAGACACCAGAGAAATAGGAAACTACCAAAACTGTACACAAGGTATTGAAATTGAGTACAAAACTGGGTCTTTACAAAGAAGGGGCAGGGTAAATGGGATATGTGAAGGAGATGCTAGTAATTTGGAGAGGAAATGCTTGTAAAGTTCAGGGTTTCTTACTAGGATTGGAATTCACTCTGCTAGAAGTATTCTTTTTTTAAAATCTTTCTTAAATATACATTTTTTATTGATTTCAGAAGGAAAGGGAGAGGGAGAGAGAGAGAGAAACATCAATGATGAGAGAGAATCATTGATTGGCTGCCTCCTGCACGCCCCCTACTGGGGATTGAGCCTGCAACCCAGGCACGTGCCCTTGACTGGAATGGAAGCCAGGACTTTCAGTCCGCAGGCCGACACTCTATCCAGTGAGCCACACCAGCTAGGGCTAGAAGTGTTCTTTACTTTTGTTGTCCATGAGAAGAAAGATGTGACTCATACAGATATGTACATACATATTTATATACAGGCATTTAAATGTTAGTATGATCTTTTCTCTACAGGACTAGTTCCCTAAAACAGTTGTTTATTGTATTCCTACAGTCCCTGGAATATAAATATTCTGTCTCTTCAGTAATTTACCAAGAAGAGAAGACACTAGCCCGGTTTTTTGGAGATACTAAACACTTGGTCCCTCCCTCCCAGGCCTTCTCAAGAAGCAGCCCATGTTCACTCAAAGTTGGGAGCAAGTTTTGATGTGGATGCGCTTTGCTTGGACAAAGGTAAGGAGGGAGGCTAGTCACTACACGCCGATTACTTACATTCCACTCGAAGGCCCCCACGGCGATCCCCGAGGCCGCTCCCGTGCTGGCCAGGCCCATGAAGTGGGCAGGGCCAATGTTTGAGGCAAACAGAGAAGCACCAATCTGGTAATCAGACGACAAGTCCACATCAAAACTTTCAGTCCACGTCCGAGAATTAATTTCTCAAATGTAAACTCAAACTGAATTTTACAATTTTTTTTTTCAAAAGGGGATATTTCCTGGGCATAATTCCCATTTGTGTTTCTTCTGTACAAATCCTAACCGTAAGTTAGAAGCCAAGTGAAGAGAGAGACAGTGAAAAAGGTAGAACAGCCATTCTTATGCTGCCACCCTCCCCATGCTCCACAGACGTGCCTGCAATTCACTACTGCAGAAACATTAGCAGGAGTGTAATCCATCATTGTTCAGAATAATTTTAAAATATTAACAATCTGATGACATGGAACTAGTTAAAATACATGAAAACATTGAAATACAATGCAGCATAAATAAAAATGAAGGAGCTGTAGTAAGTCATAAAAATAAGTTAAACAATATTATAATATAATCTCATTAAAATATTATGTGTGTACACTACACTTGTGCACATATTTGTTTATATATGCATGGGAGAGATTCTGGTAAAAAATATATAAAACAAAATACTTCTGGGGACTGGAATTATGGCTGTAGAGACGGATAGAGAAAAAAATTTCAAGGTCTACACTTGGACTGTAACTTTTTTTTTTTTTAACCAACAGCTGTTACTTTCAAAATAAAAATATCCCAGTGGCATTTAAAACAAACAAAATCCCTTCTAAGCCAAAAATAGCTTTTTAACTGAGTGGAGATAGCCACTCTGTTAAAACAAAAATCCAACTATTATGCTATTGATATGAGACATATTTAAAACCAAATTATCAAGGGAGGCTTAAAATAACAAGTCTTTTAGTAAAAACAAACAAGCAAACAAACAAATAAAAACAGCACTGTTTTTAACAATCTTAACGTAAGATAAAATAGCGTATAATACCAAAAGCATTGAACAGAACAAAGAAGTTTGTTGTTGTAATTATGAAAAATAAAATGCACTAAGACATAGTTGAGAACGTGCAGGCATCAACATCTTAGCAGTAACAAATCTAAGGCCAAATAATCTTAAAAGAGACACATAAGTACTAAAGTGATAGACATTTTTACTATTAGGAATATTCATTACAGTTGTCACAATACCACAGAATTACATACTGCCTAAATTGCCCAATAATATGGTAAATAAAAGGAAGACTGTTCATATAATACTATGCAATTGCATATAAATACAGAGTGAGGCAAAAGTAGTCTTACAGGTGTATATATGAAAAATAATACAATAATCTCTATATACAAAAGCCTAAGTGACAGTCCAACCGGTAGCTATGATGCGCACTGACCACCAGGGGGCAGACGCTCAACACAGGAGCTGCCGAGCTGCAGTGACTTGGCAGCTGCGTTTCTTGGATGATGCACTTGAAACCAGAGAGGAGGGAGCCCGATTCTGGGGTGCATCACCCAAGAACTGCCCTCTCACAATCCGGGACCCCTTGGGGGATGTTGGAAAGCTGGTTTCAGCCCGATCCCCGCAGGCCAGGCCGAGGGACCCCACTGGTGCACGACTCCGAGCAAGTGGCCTCTCATTAATCCTATATAATAAAGAGCTAATATGCTAATTAGACCGAAAAGCAGAACGACTGTCCGGATGACTGTCCAGACGACCTTCCGGATGAAGCCAGGGCTGCAAGGGTCAAGCCCCTTGTACAATTTCGTGCATCAGGCCTCTAGTAAATAATAATAATAAACTGTATTTCATGTACTCACAACCATAAACCTATTTTGCCCCACCCTGTGTAAAATATCTATATCTACTTACCTATGTATATATATAGCCCTAGGAAGATATTAATACATTAAAAATGAAAGGTAGGTTAAAAAGTCACCATTCATTGCCCTGGCCAGTGATTAGGGCATCAGCCCCTGGACCGAAGGGCCTCAGGTTCAATTCCCACCCCCTGTCGAAGCGCATGGGAGGCAACCAGTCAATATGTCTCTCTCTCCCCTCTCCTTGGGTGAGGATTAAAAAGAAAAGGTCACCATTCATTAATTCAATAATTATAAATGTCCATTGCCATCTGTGTGCCAGGCACTGTTCTAGGGACATATTGTTGTGCAAAACAGAAAGAAGCCCTTGCCCTCATGAAGACAACATTCTTTTGGAAAGATGAGAATAAACAAAATAAATTAGGGGTTATTTTCTAGCATAAGAAGCAGCAATTGGGTGGCTGGGATAGAGTGAGAGGAGATCTGAGGGAAAACAGAAAGGTGAGGAAGCAGCCAGGAGAGAGCTGGGGAGAAGCCTCTGGTGGGAGAAGCCTCCGGTGGGAGAAGCAGCAGGGGCAAAGGCAGGATAAACCCAGTGTTCAAGGACACTGGCTAGAACTGGAATGGGGGTCCTGAGAGGCGAGGTGAGGAGGGTAGACAACCTGTGGCCTAACACAGGCCGTTAGTAGCAGCTGGGCTTTCATTCTGGGTGTCAGAGGGTTTTAAACATAAAAGTGAGATGGTCTGACTCAAGTCGTAACTGGCTCCCATTTTCCTGTGAGCACCGTCATGCACTGGATGCGAGTCTAATTCCCATTCTAGACTGCGCGCTGCTAGAGGGCAGGACTATTATGTTTTATCGGGACATGAGAGCTTCCTAACCTGGCAGAGGGAACAGACATGCAAGTAAGTGCAGAGTCCCAAGTGTGTGCCAGTAACTTAGTAAGTGGTTATTAAACGAAAACTGAGTTAATTGGGAACATTTAGGTAACAAACTACTTAGGAGTTACAGAAACCACCAATGAAATGGCTTTCCTTGTTGAAAAATTTCAAAATGTTCTGAGTGTAAGACATCTAAATTAAAACAATAAGCAAGTTGCCCAGCTGGCATGGCTCAGTGATTGAGCATCAACCTAGGAACCAGGAGGTCATGGTTTGATTCCCGGGCAGGGCCCATGCTCAGATTGTGGGCTCGATCCCCAGTGTGGGGCCTGCAGGAGGCAGCCGACCCATGATTCTCTCTCAGCACTGATGTTTCTCTCTCTCTCCCCCTCCCTTCCTCTCTGAAGTCAATAAAATACATTAACACATAAGATAATAAGCAAGTTAGCACGCAGCCCCACAGCGGATGCCACACTCACCAGCCACCACCCCAGGCTTCGGCCAGCCAGGAAGAAGTCTTCTATGTTCCCACGGCTGCTTGTCAGTATCGCCTTAAACAAGAGAGCAACAGACACGAGAAACAAGCTGCTTCAAAGACACGGTCTCTCAGCGGGTAAATCTCTTCAGTGAGACACCAAATCCACGCTCCCCTCTTTCTTGTTAGGAATAGAAGGCCATAGCCCCCGAGTTAGGGGAGGGCTCATGGCGGCCTCGCTGGAGACTGTAGTCTCTTCCAGCTCTGACATTGCATGGGAATGTCCATATCTCTACATTATTGTAAAATAAGATTG